CGAGACCGGCTTGAACCCGGACCCGGACCCGGGGCTCTTTCCCTGGTCCTGGGACCTCTTCTCTCACTCGCATCCAGGAGCTCCTCCTCTGAGGCCCAGGACTTCCCACTCGGACTCAGGACCCTTTTCCCAGTCCAGGCACCTATTTTCCCTTCTTCGGACCTGGAGTCCCTTTCCTCGGGTCTTTGATACCCAGGGGCTGTTCCATGGTTGTCTTTAGGAGGGCAGGACCTTGTCTGTTGTGGACGTGGTTCTTCAGTGAAAACCAGTGATCCTGGACTGGAACCTCCTTCCAGCACACTTCCCAAACTAGGAGAAAGTCCGACCTAGGATATCTCTCCACCTCCCGGGGCTCCCCACTTGGAGCGCCGTCTTCCTTTCTTCACAACTGGGCTGTCGGAGGACTCCTACCGAGGAAAAGATCACTTCTTCCTATACCAACTATGCGCTCAAACTCCATTCCCTGGAGAGCACTCCCGGGAGCTCAGAGCTCACTCCTAATTTTGGGCTTACCCTAAAACTCGTTTTTCCTTAATCTCCCTTTGTCACATCCAGGCCCCAAATGTGAATCTTTGGTTTGAGCTCCCTTTACTCTCCCTCCTCACATAGTAGCTTCTGGCTTCCCACCCTTCGACATCTTGCACTTTAAGAAGTAGGGGAAGCCAAGCATGTGACGCGCAGGCCTGTAATCCCAACATTCGGGAAGCTGAGGCAGGAGGCTTGTGAATTTGAGGCCAGCCTGAGCTGCATAGTGAGACTGCCTCAAACAAAAGAAGCCAGCAGTTTTCTTCTTAACTCCTTTCTGGAAATCCTTGAGGCCTAATGTAGCTCAGGAGGCTCTGAGGTCACTGAGTTCATTCTGTTGATGAACTTGAGGTCGGTTGTGGGAGGGACTTGCTGAGGACCATTCAATGTATAGCAGACTGAGGACCTGTCCAGCTTTCTATGCTACTTCCCTAACTTCCAGAGGATGATAGCTGGTGCTTTCACCCCTATCCCTATCAGCCTCACTACTTTCTAAGTTTACCTTCTCATACAGCACCAAACTTCTGTGCACCAAGCTTCTGTCCTCTCTTATGGATACTTTTATGTATAATATATA